AAACAAAATCACACTTACATTGCTGGTGCTCAACAACCAGCTATAGATGCACTTATTACCTACGATTATTTATTGCTCTTTACGCATTTAAGGGATCGGAATGTAGAAATATACGATAAATTAAAAAGGAAATAAAGGAAAACATGAAAATCGCTCGCATAATAAATAAATTAATTAATACACAGTAGAGTTCCCTGTTTTCAGTTAAAATTTATTCATGGAAAGGTAATTAAATATTAAATTGCTTTTCGAAAACGAAGGGTTTTGATTTAAAATTTGCTTTCAGAAAGAATTTTTCTTTGTCTTTTTTGATAGCAACTCCTCTGAAACACAATAATTATTGTGTTTATCACTAGGGCTAATTTTGAACATTCAGTTAATAAACCGATTAAAAAAAATGACCTCAATGAGAGAAGTCTTTAAAATGACTTTCAATAAACAGCATTAAATGCTACTCTGTGCTCATTCACCATCGCACCTTTTTCAAAGCCAGCCTAAAAAACTGTTCGTGATCCTAAAGTTTCAAACTTGCGCAAGATTTTTTTAAGTGAAGCTTCTAATGAGTCTCTCAAAGTCATCGGACTCATATATTGCGCAATTTGTTTTCTTCATTAAATGTTCAGAGCTAAATAGAGGTTTGTTTTCAATGAGAAATACAATCATCGCAATCTCAGCGAATTTAAACAATGATTCTTTATATATGGAAAGAAGGAAAATCGAGGTTTATTACACATTCTTCCCAGTTATAAATATTAAAATACAAAACCTAAATTAGATCATTGTTATTCCATTATCTATAAAAACACTTTTTATTATTTCCTTGAAGAGTTTTACTTTTCACTGTAATTTGTTCAAAAGTCAATTTTTCAGTATCACACGTATAATATAAAGGCAGTCTAATTATCTTGTACTAATTTTTGTTGGCTTCTAGATTTTAAGATAACAAAGTATTCATTAACTAAAATTTATATATTGACTCCGATTTACTTTAGAATTTTTAAGTCTATTTTACTTCAGTGCTAGCGCAGGACGAGTATAAAAGGTTTTATTACGTTTCTTTTTGTATTTATTTATGAATATATAAGATATATCTTTCATTCATATCCAGTGATATAAGTTTTTGAATAGAAAGGCAGGGTGTTTCAACTTCTGTATTCCATTTTCATTTAGTTCTAAAAGGAGTTTTATTCAGAAGTTCAGTGAGAACTTTCTCAATATAGTCTTATATTATTTCAGTCTTCCTTGCATATATTTTCAGAATATCAATGTCTAAAACTCCTAGAGCTAGTGTGGCAATTAAAATTTTGTTACAAACGCTAAATCTCAGTTTCAAATGCTGTATTTAGATCATTATTTATTATTTCGCCATAAAATAATCATAAACAATGCGATGTATAAAAGGAGCATGAGAGTACCTTCAGGAATGCCGGACGTTCAGGAATGTTACTGAATGTATGCCAAAGCAAAAAACTTCATAACGGGGCTCTGGAATGAAGGTACTGGTACTTTATAAAATTCGATGTTTGACTTGAATCAAGAAAGTGGAGTTACAGCCAGTGGCGGATAGGGCCGGCTGGAGACCGGGCAGATGCCTGGTTGGCCGGAACAATTTCCCGCCGATCAAAAATCTCGAACGATTGAATCGACGGAGATAAACGAAAAATACATCGATTTGATTTTTGGATAAACGAAAAATCAAAGGAGGTGTAGTTTATTTGCATATATGTATGAATAAAGTGTTACTTCTCTACAAAGGTATATTTTTAGTTTATAAAATTATTTTTTATGATGATGGTGATGATGACAATGATAACATTTTCCGATGACAATGATAACGCCGGCACATTTTCTTCTGTCAGGGCCGATTTCTTCGGCCACTCCGCCGCTGTTTACAGCATTATCATCCCCTTGCGGGTCACAATAAGAGAAATGTTGAAAAGAAAAAAAGATGCATAAAGATGTCATATTTAATCATTTAACTGTAATGCACACTTCGCAGTTATAATAATTTACAGCCTATTTCTACTGCTAGTATACGGATAGAACAAGTGTTACAAGTATTGATGCAGGATCTGGTACCTAATGTAATATTTCAAACTTTAAATAATATTGTTAGTCTCAAAAGTGTCTGGCTGCTTTCTTTCAAGAATTTAAAAAAAAAACAAAACAATTAATAATTAAAGAAATTGTTAACGTGCACTGTAGGTTTTTCTTATTCAATATATGTTCCTAGATTTCTAATGCTAGCAAATGTAGGTAGTGTATGCCATGGTGATTAAGATGAGTCTTCGTAGCATTATACAGCCAGGCTACTGAAAAGCAATGATTTCGATTACATATACCTCTCGTTTATACAGCAATCACGATACTGTTGCATTATTTGCCAATAAATAAATTTGTATTTTAAATTAAAAATTTAACTTACTCTATAAATGCAATAAAAAAGACATACAGAGTAAGGATATATATTGATCTAACGTTTACATTATTGCTAAGGCTTACTGGAAGTGATTAATTCATGAATTAACTACGAGTTTTTTATTATAAAATAGTGTTCGAATTTTATATTTAAATAGTTAATCGTAATAGAATTATGATTAAAAATGTTTTATTTCCCCGTGCCGTACAGCGCGAGACGAATTTTAAGGAAAACTCTGTCGGAAAAGTAAGAATACAGGGGCACCTGCATTTAACATAATGTTATCTCGATAATTTGTACTGAAATTAAATAAAGGTAAGTGACCACTATGTTAGCTGTAACCGTAATTCCATTCTCTTATTGCTTTCTAGAAATCTCGAGAAGCAGAAAGTACTAGAAATATATCGCGACCTGTTGAAAACTATAAAAGGCCGTAGAGAGATCGTCAGATGCTTAGTTACTATTGTTGCGAGTTGTTTAGTTCAGAATGAACTGAGTTATCAGAGTTAGCTTTCTCTTTAGATGCGCTTTGCATTGCGTTGTATGTAACGTTTTGAGTAGTTTGAAGTGTAACTACTGATTTTACTGTGTGATAACTGTGAACACTTGTGCGAATATTTCTGTGGAAAATTACAGAGTTCTGAAATATTTTTTTGATAAAAATTAATTTTATTGACCTATTATCGGACTTGTGCATTCAATCTATTACGAACCCGTACGAATATCTTAATAAAATCATGATAAGAATTATAAAATCACATTTAATGCTAATAAATCAGTAAAGATAATACTGTTTATATGGTTATCTGGCACTTTTTCTAAATTGACGTGAAAGTTTAGATTTTAGGTCTTAAAATGTTTGATTTTTTTCCTTATAATCACAACTTTTAAATCAATTCAAATAGTATTATGTATTTCTTTCTTCTCCCATCATTTACACGTAATTTTGACAACAGCAAAATAATAGAGCTCATCCACAGATCTAAAAAATGTCATCATCTAAATATGAATCATGGGGCATACGTTAAAAGACTGTAGATATCTTTAACGGGATCTTCAATAACACTGAGTGAATTCTTTAAACATAATTGTTCAACAGTAACGATTTCTTATGTTATTATGAGCTTTTTAGCTAATATTTTAGAGTAAGATATACAGTAAAAAATATCGTAATTTTCCGTCTTGTTTAGATCATTGTAACCGTGATACTAAAGATAATATGCCCAAAATACCAAGTGAAAAAGTCGCTGATTTGTGACGAAAGTCCAAGCAAGAACAAGTTATGCCAAATATTTTATATGGACTTCTCAAAGTGGCGAGAAGTGCTCTTTAGGAACGGATCCATTTTGAAAGTAACGACATGTATCATGTGAGACTTGCAAATTCCATCTGTAATTCAAAACACCATACTCTATTATGTGAAATATGTAGTAATTCTAGGGATGTTTCCTTGAAAATGAATCTAGTTTTTTGATACAAATAATAGGTCGAATCGATGGAGCAACTTGTAGAGAGACCTTACAGGAGCTAGTGCTGCTTGATGCTCGTTCTGCTTTTGAATGTTCACTGAATTTGCAAGCTGAAGATGACTCTAAACACGCAAGGAAACTCTTGTCAGAAGTTCACATTGTGATTGCAATAAAGTGAATTTATCACCAGATTAAAATCCGATTGGGAGGGGACTATAAGGCAAAAGATTAGGAGCGCTTAAAATAATATTAAAAATCTAATGCCTGAAATGTTTTAATAGCTACCGCAACAACGAGCTGCATTCTGCCTTGTCCGTTGTTACTATGCTTCCAAAATGTAATGAATGCGAAAATTTTGTAACTTATTAATTCAAGAAAAATTTGCTTTAACTCTTTTTCCTTTTTTTTTTTTTTTTTTTTTTTTTTTTTTTTTTGTAAAATTGCATTAAATCTGATGTTTTGTTGTTCGAAAATAAGTTCATTCCTGATATGGAATGAATATACAAAATTATTAGTTACGCCATTTTATTTTCTGTTGTCATTTTAGGTGGTGATATTAATATTTTAATTACATTTTATATCAATATATGGCATTGGTTTATGGTTTAGTTCTGTTATTGCTTGAAGTTTTGTTTCTGAAAGATCCAAATACAGTGGACTCTGTCTTTAATACCGGCGCTTTGAACTCTTCTATGGGAGAAATTATTTTAGACTGATGATGTAGTATATAAGTATTTATTTTTCTTCTCAAAAGTGCTAGTCTCTTTCAAATGGGGTCACTGCGAGAGGATTCAATGCAATTTATATTTGGAATTGTTAATAGATTTACAATAATAAATGTAATAATGCATTTTTCTGTGAACTATGCGTATATTTTTATCAAATTTACGTTGTAATATATTGATATTAAAGATTTATGTTCGTTTTTTACAAGACCAATGCATGCAACAAGCAGCCATGACGATAAATTGTTTTAATTGCATTTAATGGCTATTGTTTATTTTAATTTATTGTTTATCCTTTGTGTGTTATTAATATAAACATTTATAAAACTTAAATGTTGTAATCAATGATATAATTTAATTGTCTTATATCTCTGTTTCCTTTTACAGGATATCTGTGTGTTGTATATGTTTATTAAGTATAGCAGAAATAGTAAACGCAGTGAGTATCCATCATTAATTTTATATGATTCCTTGTCTTATTATTTTTTCGGCACATATTTTTATTAATCATTCACTATCATCATACACAGAAAATTTTATTTGTCAATCTCTTAATGCTGCATAATGGTTTTTGTTAGACATGAAAAATTGATAATCATATCATATATTCAATTTAACATGAATATATTCAGTTTAGTTCACTGTTTTTTAGGAAATGCAGAAGTTAAACTTTTTGACGTAATAATGTTTTTGCCAAGTTTTAGCAATACAATTTGTTGCTTTTGTAGATTTTAGTGATTTGTCTAATTTAAACGAAAAACCTGTCGGGATTTTTTTACAAATGCAAACATGTCTATTCATATAATTTGTTAAAACTATTATTCTTTTATCAGATTTTCATTTCCGTTTCAAAAACGTATAGACCACCAATTTTCGTTTTCTCATTACGAGAGAGTTAAGTGAATGTTTCTTTCAGCAATGACACAAAATATACTATTCAGAGGCTAGAGATTGGCAGTTTTTACGTTGCCAGCAGCGCTGTTAAATAATTAAAATAATCTAATAGCATCAAAATGCGTTTAGGTTATTTTAGTAGTTTCAAAATATTATGTGTATCACGGTTATAGTAGATCATTATTTATTTATTTATTTTTAAATGAATAAGCGACAGTTACGAAACTGTTAAGCTCCGTCTTCTGTTCGTTATTGGAAACGACGCTTTCCAGGAGGATAAATATCATCGTTTTCTGCGAGTGCCTCTCCATATTTTAAATGTATATTTTAAAAATGAATATTTTTTCGATAAATGGCTTATTGCAGCCATGACGAAAAATTGTTTTAATTATTTAGTAGTAGCACAAGTACCCGATGTCCGTTAAGTTAGATTGAGAATAATGCATTTAACAACAGAGAGAACTATAATCCTTCTCTAACAACGATGCAAGAAATGCGATTCATAGTCATACATATTTCAGTCTGATGCGATATGATATTCACATAAAAAGTTTACATAGTAAATTAAATAAATCTCTTTCATTATATCAGCAACAGTGGCACGCAGTTTTGATTTTCGTCTTTCTAATCAAATGGGCGTAAAAGCTCAGGTTCCATCCAATATTTTACTTATATTCAATTTTAGTCTATTAAATGTGGCAAAACATTTATCATAATTAATTAGAAATCAATGACGCGAACAAACATACAAACAGACATTCTTCCTTATATATACATATAGATTTTGTAAAACTTAGAACATTTTGATTACCAAACTTTACGATTTGAAAGCGAGTAGTAGCAACACTTTTCGAAATTAAGTAATTATCATTTTTACCATTAATTTAATGGTAAGCATTTTTATCTACAATGTGCAAGACTGTTGTCATTCGGAAAAATGAGTTCGAAAATAATTGTTTTCGGAGTTTTTAATTAGTATCTTGGCTGATTAAAGTCGTACGCAGTCTGAATGGCTTCCTACGAAGTTTTGGAATCGGGAATAATGTATTTGATGTTTGGCAATGCTAATTTTATTTCATCATAAAACTTAGAATTTTTTTATTAACAAACTCTAGGATTGAAAGCGAGCAGTGGCATCAACTTTCGAAATAAAACAGATTTTCATCTTCAGCTTGCGAAACTGTTGCCACTCGGGAAAATGAGGGCGAAAATTATCGTTTTCCGTGTCTTTAATTAATATCTCTGATTTTAACTAGCTACATTTTTTTTGGAAAAAAGTGAACGTCGACCTTTTCCAGAACCTAGATAAGAACTGTAGAAAGTTTGGTGACGGTAGCTATAAGTAGTTACTGAATTATTAGCGAACAAACACAGAGACGTTCTTCTTTATATATATAGATTTATGCACCGTTTATTTATTCGTCACGTATTAATTAAGTTCTGTGTTTATTGAAGTTTCAGTGGCACTTAAATTACTTTAAAAAATTTTAACTGCCTGAAAGACTCAGAACTATATATCTTATAGGGTTCCTCATTTTGTAAATGCTAATTTACAGTTGAACGTGAAGAATCTTAAGAACTGCTAAGCGAATAATCGCTTAAATTCGTGTGACAAGAAACAACAAGATGGAAGGATAAATAACCCTTTATTATTCAAATAAGATTTCATAGAACTCCGTCTTGGAGTGTACAATAAGAGCCGACACTTGGGCTTGAACTTAAGAGGCTAAGAAATAAACTAAAACTAATCTAAACTAAAGAGATATAGCCGAAGATATCAAGATTCTAACCTTGTTGGCCCCTTAACGCTAATTGACTGCGAAGCTATCAAGGGCCTGAGTACGGCCGAGAGTAATAACAGCTTTGAGAAAGAGTAGCCAAAAGGCGAACGCGCGCTAATCAGAAACTCTGATTCTCTCTAACTCAGCAAGTAGAACTTCGCGGTTAAATACCACTCTTCCTCATTCTCATTATGTATTCAGACGTGATTCCAAAACTACGTTCTGGCCGGAAGGTAGTAAGTTGAAGTTAAGAGTTTGACAGGAAAGAAGTTTAACTCAAAATTGTAACTGTTAATAAAATTAACATAATTCTTACAATCTGATATTATGTATTATGGGATGCTTTAGCTTTATATTTAAGTGCTGTATTTGTTACAAATACTCATCCTGTGTCTGATAATTTTAGCAGAGGAAACTTAAGTATTTGACCTGATAAATTAAATGAAGCCAAAGGTCTTAGTTTGTTTAGCTTGCAAACGGAAAAAGAGAAAAATATAAAAGAAATTTAAATATCAGAGTTGCTTTACAATATCGTCTCTTCCATCTCGAATAAAGCGTTCCCATGATTCCCATGATTTTTAGATCCTTTGTGAGTGATAAAGATAATTTTAATTTATCGCTTAGGTCATCGAATGGTCCAAGATAAGATGATTTCGCTGATTCATTCTTTGATGTGCTGGTATGTTACGTCTAAGAAAGAAAATGAACACGTTTCTTCGACAGAATTTAAATAGGGAGGAATAGGAATGTTTCAAAATTTTATATAAAACATAGAATGAGTTATATCTTTTAGTACAGAATTTTTAGTTAAAATGCAAAATTAACTTTATTATCAATTGGAAGTTAACAAAACAAAAAAAAAAAAAAAAAAAAAAAAAAAAACATCGTAAAATTCTGTCCAAACCACAGTTCAGAGATTCTGCGAATCCTTCTAACATTTTTTAACCATAGATTATTTAGAAAATTAAATTGAATTCACGAAAACATACTTGGAAGAAATATATGGCATAAATATGATAAACATTAAACATGCCAGGCATTGAATATTTAAGAGCGTTGTTTGCCGAAAGAGAGACCGAGACTGACTTTTAATAGAAAACAGTAACGGATAAGACGAAAGAAGTGGATGAGGTATGGTTTGAGATATGCTGAAGTAGCGTTATCAGACAGTGTTTAGTTTGTGTAAGGCGCCAACATTACAGCGTAGGAAAGAAAGGATATTTCCAATTTTTGCTGATTTCAGAATTGTGGAAGCTCATAGTTCAAAATGCCCATTTCATTTAGTTACATTAATATAAAAGCCATTTTCGGTTATTCTTGCATTTACCAGCATCACGATGACCCCAGTTGCCTAACTGCCTGATGTTAGCCATTAACTTTACCGATAATTTAGAAAGGCAGTTAATTCATTGGTTTGTACATCACACTATATTCCTCATTGTTCTGCAGCATTTTTAAGGTAAAGAAAATATTACGAAAACCCTAAAAAGAGAAGATATGTATATATTGTTGCGTGCGTATGGTTTCGTAATAAATTGAATGCACAAGTCCGATGAAAAGTGAATGAAATTTTTTCTTATCACAACAAATAAAACAAAAATGCTGAAATTACCTCAGAGATATTCGTACAATATCGTAATATTTAACGGCCCACCAGCGGCTGACCGGTAAAGTCGCTGAACACTGGTAGTTCGGTCCGAGGTTCGAATCCCACCACGAGGTTCGAAACCTGACTGGCACTATATTTCCTGATCAATTCGAAATTAGATATTTCGTCCATATAGGAAGTCTAGGTTCACATTCAAATAGATAGTGTGCCCAGCAAAGCGAGCGGGTATCAGATAGTATATAATATTTGCAATATTGTGAAGCATTTCTTCATGATGTGATTGGGAGAAAAGCATTTAGAGCACTTTATACATAATTTTGCATACTGTGATTTAAAATGGGATTTACAATATTTTGTTGATACATAAGTTCACGTTTGTACACACAAAATGATTGGCCTTTCTGCTTATACCTGCATAATGCTACTTATATGATTTGAAACGTTTTTATACCTATTACTATCAACAACCATAAAAACTAAATTTGTTTTTCAGTAGGTTTGTGTTTATTTTACCGTATTAATGATAAAATAGATTATTATTTGGATATAATGCCGCATTCAGGACTTTTGGTAATTTTAGCCATTTGGAAGCTTTTCAAGCAATCATCTCTTAAAAATGCAAAAACATTAACTTGTATATTTACAGTAGGAAATGCATGTGTAAATTGAGTGAAGATATTTAAACTCGTGTTTTCTCAGGCTTGAATGTAGATACATTTCGTTTTCCATTGTAGCGTCGCAACAGCTGCTAGCATGATTGAGAGCGCAATTTTCCGAAGAGATTTATTATATTTGATTTGTAATATTTACAGGGTAATTTGTTTTGCCGAAGCGAATTTGGTAGAGTCAGAGAATTCCTGTAGTGGAGACGAAGATTCTGTACCTCACAATGGGTAATTCACTTGTAGGGGGACATAGTTATACGTTATATGTAAGCTCTGAAGTAATATTGGAATTTAGATATGAAGTTGGTTAGAATTCATTTATTAAAACGCAAACTACGTCTATATGAACCGACATCATTTATTTATTTTATTAACAAGAAACGAACGCCAAGCTACTGTTGTCACACATATTCAAATAAATATTTCTTTTTTTGTGTGTGTAGTGGTGGTGGGGAGTTCTTGCGATACAAAACACAAACGTGAGCCTTGC